TGACGGTCTACGTTTCAATTATGCTCGTAGCGTATCTCACAGTTTCGTTCTCACGAAAAATTACCCTATGGCATCGATTTACATGGCTGGTGTCAATTACGCTTACCTTTCCGGAACAGCTAGTCTAACTTTAGTTGTAAAAAGAAATCACGTTTTGTTTTCATTTGATTATGATCTGTCCTAGTTTTGTTGAATAAAAATTCAAAATATGGTCTCGTTCACAACTCCTTATCATTCATGAACACTTACCTGGATATCCCTTCTGCTATACAAATACCCAACGAACATAAGATTTACAACTTATACATGTAGCAAAATAACATAAAACCATCGATTGTGGGGCATTAACGTTATCTGTTATGTACAGTGTAATTCATTTCATTTAAGGAAACAAACATCAAGTGACAAATATTTCAATTTAACAGGATTAGGGATATGCTTCTTGAAGAGCTTTTCGCCGATTACATCGATCCAATATTCACATACTACACACAGAGATTTCTCCATACTCACAATGTCCATTAACATATAATACCATAGATAAAGATTTTCAGCCATTGTCTACAAGCTGTAGCAAACACTCGAAAGTACTTATACATTGTATATTTAGATATTATTATATGACCATTTTGATATCACACCTCATATCAGCCCGAGGGCTTTGTTTAATATCACACCCCATATCAGTCCGAGGGCTTTGTTTAATATCACACCCCATATCAGACCGAGGGCTTTGTTTGATATCAATTGCATTCGCTGGCACATCATGTATCTGAGCACTTTCGAATCGTACAAATTTTAAGTATAAAGTCCACAGCTCGTGTTTGGGAAATTCTCTCAAGTGAATATTTCCTCATCTATATGACTCCAGCAGTTAGCTTGAAAGTGCACTGTATATAAACTTTCCAATGATCATACATCACAACAGCAAAAAACGACAACGTATCAAAGTACACAGCAAAGGTAAGTCCGATTAAATGGCAGCAGTGTTGTATTGGTGAGGTTTCGGTCACGTCTTAAAATATTATTACTGATTTCTCTTATATATGAATATATATAAGAGGGCGGGGTGTGAAGAGCTGTGGATTATCTAGGCTAGGCGGTTTGGTGCCGTAGGCCGTGAGTTCGAGGCCCGGACAGGACACGGGTCATAAAATCATCTTCCCTCGCTTGTGTTTCTATGTCAATATATAAATATAAATATAAATATAAATTTGTTTTGTTCATGCCTGAAATACAATGTTTATTACTACTTACAATTTCTAATTAAATTAATTTTGAATATTGTTTACATGTAGAGGATATGACTTATTATCGTTGGTAACGAAGTCAATTAATTTAATAATACCTTAGTATTTTTGCCGAGTTCAGAGGCAAGATTTTTCAACAGACTGTTGGCACTCCAAAGGGAACATACTGTACCCTTCTCTTAGTCGAAATGATTATTCTAAAATTATAAATTATTTTAACCAGGGTAGAAAATCTTAAACAAATATATCGTATCTAATTCAAGTAAGTTGTAATTTATAAGAAAATTGTTTCATTTTTCCCTTTTTAACCTTGCTGGTTCTGCATAAATTTCGGTTTGCCATGCTCAGATGACGCATCAATACTTAAAAGGGATTTAAATATTAAAAGTCTTACGTATATTCCTTTTCAGCGAATTGCGACCCTATCAGATACAGGAGGAGGAGAAATCGAGTGATGTCATGGTGGTTCCCATATTTCTCTTGATATTTTGTGTAGCGGTAGATGGTCAAAACACAACAATGAATGCCACAGACTTCGGACCGTCTACTCCACAAAGCTCACAGGGCGGAAATGATACAGTTTTTGAGCCCAATTCTACAATGGCTGACCATCCACTTGGTTCCTCTCGATCGGATAACAATTGCAGTATTTTTATCGATAAGACCAGTGAGGATTTGGAGCAAGCATTAGTGGTTGGTTCCAATATGCTGTTCATGATATTTTCCTTCAGGAATGATAGCCGAACAATCCCCATTTCTGTGGATACCCCTCAGCCCCTTACTTGGGTCCATGTGTCAGGAAACCATGGGAAGGGTCTTTTTTGGCTCAGACAGGACTTTGAGATGTTATCTTTGACGAGTCTAAGCTATGGTGTTGACAATTTAGAAATATACATGTCTGACAGTCCAGAAGGATGTCTAAGTACGACACCAGCATCAGAAATTGCACAGGATGTGAAAGATCTCGTTCTTAACAACCTCGCCAGTGATCCTATGACAAACATCTCCTGGATCGGAAGTGAAATTTGCAATGCCAGGTTCAGATTCAGGGAACACGAAACTGGCACTGAAGTATACTTTGTGTGTTGCAAAAAGGATGCATTTTTCAAGACCACCTGCTACGAACTCAAACGCAACAAATGGATGAACGTATTATTACTATGCATTCTCGTGTTACCATTTATTGCTCTTATGTTTGCCCCGTTATTGATACCCGTTGATCTATTCCAGGACGGTAAAGCTGACGTATTTTTTCAACACAAGGTCAGCTCTCAATTTCAAATCCGTGTTACTAAACAATCTAGTCCTGATCGTACATCAAAACCACCTCTAGAAATATCAAAAACGTATTTCAAAGATATGCCAAGATTCTGTAGTACTATAGCAACACTAAATGATAATCTCACATACGACTGCACTCTGGAAAAGATATCTTTTTACGTTGACAGAGACAATTTAATCGGGAAGGACACCGATCCTTTTGGGCCATTAACAATGTTATACACTTTGCTAAGCCGGTACGAGCTGAGAAGACATTCATTTGGTGAGGGAAATTCTTTTCGAGAGTATATGACTATACTTTACGGGAAGATTTTGAATACAGGGTATTTATTACTAATAATCACATTAGTTAATATTCCAATCATTGTAAAATTAATCTTTTTCATTATTCAAGTAATTCCAGCTTGGTATATCACTAACAGCCTGGAAAACCTAGACCTAAATTCTAACCTTATACAATACAGTAGTTTCGGAGTCAGCATTATTCCACGCTTGGAGCTGTATCTTATATACCTCGTTCTTATTGGTCTTTTTGTGCTCGTGCAATTTTTCAAGATCCGAGGAACACATAGAGTAGATATTGTAATTGAAATTCTAAAACAGTGCCTGCGGGATTCTCGTAAAAGACGAATCAAATTAGCGTTTCAGACGTTATATAAAGCGTGTCGTTTTTCCATCATTCAGTGCATTATGAAAGGATGGCATCGTGCTTTTGTGTATCTCGTACTGTTTCTACCTTTTGTCGTTTTTAATTTTGTCTTTTATCTGTTGCCCACAGTAAATCTGGTGTGCTCTATTCCTATCTACCTCTTCTTTTATGTTCTTTCCAACAAGTGCGGATGTCTATCGAGAAGTCGATGCGTACGAGCGATAGCTAAATGCGTATCAGATTGGCTAGGGCTCAATCCAATTTTTCTAAACCAGACCGATGGTGAAGATGTTGATGACAGTGACAGTGTCAGACATAAGCCGTGTTCACCAGCCGACACGTTCATCATACTCATTCTGGTGTTTTCGTTGCCTGTGCTTATCTTTGTGGTACTGGATTCTTTGTCATTCTATATTGATATAATCATCTATGTTCTGATCGGTCTGCTTCTTAATGCATCAGTGACAACCACATACGTAATTTTATCGCTCATGCTAGTCTTTTATATAAGAGACTTGTTCGATAATGTGACAAATCGATACGTTAAGTTTAATAACACTATTATAGGCGATGCGATGACGAAAACAAGAGAAGATGTTCTCAAAGTATCATTACTTAATGAAAATCTTCAGAAAAATACAGCTTTTCAGTTGATTAACGAAACACCTCTAGGCGAGCCTGATGCACAAAAAGAGAGCAACTCGCCCATTGACAACTTCAAGCTATCCCACGAGGCAGGGGTTCTACTGTGGAGGACAAAACGACTGATCTTCTTTCTCGACAGGAAAGATACACCATACATACCAAAGAAATTTTTCACGGAAACGTGTGTCATGGACTGTGTCGGAACCCCGGGACCACTTGGAGAAAACCTCTGGGCTGTCACCATCGATATATTGCGGATTTTTGTATTCTTATTTTTCATCCTGTTAGTTGCTTTGGCGTTCAGCGAGGAGACTGAATCTCCGGGCACTAATCAAACACTCACAGTTATAGCGGGGGGTCTGGTTCCCTGGTTATTGAGGAAGGTTTTGCAGGTTCCAACCGAAAAAGGTGTTGACGTTGAAAATCTCCATTTTCGTGAGGTTTTCAACAATGCCATCAGAAAGTATGAAGAAACATGGACTGTAGCAGACATTGACATTGCAAGCGTCAAGGTATCTGAGGACCAAACGCTAAATGAGATGGAGGTTATAAGAAGTGAGGATCGGGATATGACACACGATAGCCATGAGATGCCCGAATGTTTAAAACCTAGCTCTACAAGTCGTGAACTTAGTATTGAGGCAATAGAAAATGTACCAAGTAGCAGTAGATCTCCAAAAGCAGATTCACTCGAACATAAAGAAGAACGAACTACTGGACAAAGCTCGTTCAAACATGACCATTTAGTTGTTCTGGTCAACAAGAAGTCAACAAGATCCCAGGTAGTTTAGAGGTTATTATTTATCCTACGTCAAGGAAATACAATGGGGTATATCTGTTACCTGTAAATATAGATGATACATTCCCCTGTATCCTTATTAGTTGTATCACGTGAAGGTTGAGTTGACGATTTTTGATGTTTACCTTATGTTACCACTTTAACATTAACAGCAGGTCAATACTCTCTCCCATAACGTCATTTGTAACGTCACAATGCTTTTCTCCTGGTAATTTCATAAGTTCCAAATATACAGTTACTGAATTGCAATGTTCGAGTACGTCTGGCGATATTTCTATATTCGTGTTTATCATCGTGCCGGTAATACCGTTGATATGACAGAGAGGTGAACACTCCGACTTTCTACACAGACGGCCAAATTTTCAGTCTCTTAAAGTCGTCATATCATAGATAATAAAGGAGAAAGTGGTTCTTTTCCTACTCTCACGACTCATCAACCCGTGTGGATTATAAAATGGGCTGAGCTGGGTATTACAGTATCTGTGCTGTATCATTCAGGGAAAGTGGCACTATAAAAAACATACCATCACGTTCACGTATACACATACGTTGATAAATAAGCAAGGTGACAGATGAGCTATCATTTTAGCCTGTGAAGGCAGCTCCTGTGGGTTCCTATAAAATATGTACTTATTCGGGGGGTCAGCCCCACCATTTGTACAATTTTGAAACCCTGCCTCCCATGAATGCTTCCGACCAAATATGATCGATATCCATGTCATAGTTCTACAGAAGTCGTTTATAGCAATATAGCCAAATTGCCACCCTTTGGCCCAACCCCTCAGCCCCCTGGGGGGTCAGCCCAACCATTTGTACAATTTTGAATCTCCACCAACTAGAAATGCTTCCAGTCAAATTTAGTAAAATTCCAATCAGTGGTTAAGAAGTAGTTGTTTAAAGAAATTGTTGACGGATGGACGACGGACGACGGACGCCACGGTATGGCATAAGCTCACATTGGTCCTTCAGGCCAGGTGAGCTAAATGTGAAACAAAATATCAACGTCGAGGAAAGTAAAGGCCAGAAGCCAAAAGAGGATGTTAGTTCGCATGGTACAAAATGGCATGTTGTAGTGTGCGTCTTCAACCTGTTCTTGAAAACTTTTAGTCCAGAACGACCGAAAATATTATCACTAAATTTAGTCTAAAACAGCATTGGGTAAAAGAGACTAACAAGTTGTGATCCACCTGGGGTCAGAGTGGCGGGCCACATAGCGGGGCCCAATAGCGGAAATAAAGGGAAACTTCAAAATCCTACTCCTTCAGTACCAGTTAATGGATTTTCACCTTAGCTTTGAGTATCGCTGTGCCAAGGAGTTTTTTTTTTATAAACGTAGGATGTTTCAGCCATTTGCCCCATTTCTGAGAGCAGAGGGGTGAGTCAAGTTGTTGAGGGAAATAATGGGTAATCTTTAAAATCCTTCTCCTTCGGTACCATCTAAGGGATTTTAACCACATTGCGGTCTGAAATATCCTTGGGGCAAGTGAATTCAGTGTTGTATAAAAGGAGAGTGTTGCGTTCCTGAGGGCAGAGGGGCATGGATTGTGCATTGTGTATAAAAATTATCTAAGCAGGGCTGTTGTTAGTACGTTCCTCATCACTTTGGTCGCTCAGTTACAGTATAATGACATCATCGTATCCCAGACAGCAGACATTGTGTATAATGTATTATTGACACAGTAATATATGCATACGTGCGTTTAAAGCGATGTGATGATTAAAATAGCAAAGATTATAAAGATAGAACATTGACGTTTGTGTGTAAATTCGAAATATAGTTGATGTATATAAACAGTCCTTTTCCCGACAGCGTTTGTTTAGTAAATATATAGATTGATGCTGATAAATTATTTGTGGTTTGTTATAAAACCAATAAAACGATGACTTATCATTTTTGGTTGACATATACCTTCACCATGATAGTCGATATAAAGTAAAACTGGTGAGTCTAAAATGGGTCAACATATATATATTTATTGATTGACTTTCTCAATTGGCTTTTACCACATTTTGAAACAAATGTTTCCTTACCTTGTCAGGATTTTAAGGTAATCTGTGGTGACCCTAAGATGGCGGATTCAAAGCACTGAGTATGACCGCAACCTTCTTGGTGGTATTTATTCTGTCACAGTTAACATGAAATAAAATTTGACAATATTTTTTTTGAAAAAGCAAGGAGTTTGTTATATTCCTACACAATGTCAGTAAATATTCTGCAGGACTTTGATCAGGATGTACATGAAACATGGTGAAGTAAATATTTACTTTCTGTAGGTCTTTGGTACCACTAACCATTCCTAGATAGATTTATATGACACCTGGTGAAGTAAACATTTACTTTCTGTAGGAATTTGGTACCACTGACCATTCCTAGATAGATGTATATGACACACGATGAAGTAAATATTTACTTTCGGTAGGACTTTGGTACCACTGATCATTCTTAGATAGATGTATATGAAACATGGTGAAATAAATCTTTACTTTCTGTAGGACTTTGGTACCACTGACCATTCCTAGATAGATGAACTGACACATGGTGAAGTAAATATTTACTTTCTGCAGGTCTTTGGTACACTGACCATTCCTAGATAGATGTATATGACACCTGGTGAAGTAAATATTTACTTTCTGTAGGACTTTGGTACCACTGATCATTCCTAGATAGTTGAACTGACACATGGTGAAGTAAATATTTAATTTTCTGTAAGACTTTGGTACCACTGACCATTCCTAGATAGATGTACTGACACATGATGAAGTAAATATTTACTTTTTGTAGGCCTTTGTAACCACTGATCAATCTTTGATAGTTGTACTGACACATGGTGAGGTAAATGTTTACTTTCTGTAGGACTTTGGTACCACTGATGATTCTTGGATAGCTGTTCTGACACATGGTGAAGGAAATATTTACTTTCTGTAGGACTTTGGTACCACTGACCATTCCTAGATAGATGTATATGACACACGGTGAAGTAAATATTTACTTTCTGTAGGACTTTGGTACCACATACCATTCCTAGATAGATGTATATGACACATGGTGAAGTAAATATTTACTGTCTGTAGGACTTTGGTACCGCTGACCATTCCTAGATAGATGTATATGACACATGATGAAGTAAATATTTACTTTCTGTAGGACTTTGGTACCACTGACCATTCCTAGATAAATGTATATGACACATGATGAAGTAAATATTTACTTTTTGTAGGACTTTGTAACCACTGATCAATCTTTGATAGTTGTACTGACACATGGTGAGGTAAATGTTTACTGTCTGTAGGACTTTGGTACCACTGACCATTCCTAGATAGTTGTACTGACACATGGTGAAGTAAATATTTACTTTCTGTAGGACTTTGGTACCACTGACCATTCCTAGATTAATGTATATGACACATGGTGAAGTAAATATTTACTTTCTGTTGAAATTTCCTCGCTCTCTAATTAGTATACATAATAGCCAATTTAGTTACTCGATTGGTAGAATTTTTATTTTCTTTTTCTTCATTTTCCTAGCACAAACGTGTTGTTTAAGTGAGATCTTAATATTTCAAGTCAAATCAGTCAAGTCAATTTTGCTTATTATAGTGTCATATATCAGAATAGGACCGTACGAGTGTATAATTACACAGTATAAAAAACATATAGTAACATAGCAAAGATCAATCATCTTAATGTACAAATATATAGACATAATATCATAATTTTGTTAAGAACAGTTATGATACGTAATATATAAATAAATCAAAACAACCTATCGCAGTTTCCAATCCAGAGAGAAGGTGACTGGGACAGCCATTATTACAAACATAGCAGTTTTATTTCTGATTTTGAACATTTCTGATGTTTTCTGTATCATTGAGACGAGGTCTTTCCCCGGGACGAATAGAAATAGAATATTAATACAAAATATCACTATGAGGCAGGAGGATCAAAAAGGGTAATAATATATATTATGACTTATTGTATTGTGTTCGATCATTAATAGTAATATTTTCAAACATTAAGTTGTTGTTATTATGAATCATTTTGGAGAAAATAGACAAAGATGAAAAATGTACACTATCACATTTAATCATAAAAACAAATGTATGCAAAATTAAAGGAAGAAACTATCAGCAGCAGCCAGGACACGTATTAGGGTGTTGTGCACTGTTTTGGCATGCTAACATAGAAACAGGTTATTAGGAATCTTAAAGGAAAATCGGAAACTTTGCAACTTTTTTGTTTTTTTCTACTATAGAATCTACGACGGATAACATGAGAAACCTGACATCAATAGGAAGTACTTCGAGAGTTGATATAGGTGTTCAGTGTTTAGCCTATATTGAGCACCAAACAGGATTCATCCCTACGACTGCAGAGGAGTAATGAGGATGACGTTAGTTAGATAGTTAACAACGGTCTGACGACAATAATAGCGGACACTTAAAATCGTTATACAGCAAACGGAAACTGAATGGTAAAAGGTTACAAACTGCATACAGGAGTAAACAATAAAATGGTCAGATAATACAGGTATTGTTTTAAATTTCAGTTGACAAATGACTGAGTATTTGGTGGAAAGGTTTGATGTAAGGGGCTGCGACAAGAAATTGGACGTTTTCTCTATGTTATTTGGGAAAGGATCCCTTTACTTTTTACTGGGGTCTAAATACAGGTCAAAATATTTGTACGGAAGAATAATTGAAAAGGCTGTTTCAACTACTGTTGAAACACATTGACAGGTGCGTAAAACGGATTATTTTTTTAATTTAAAAATTAACAGGAGTAATGTCTATAAACCGTATCTAAAAGCAGTTTAACGCTTAATAACACCCCTGTTTCTAAGGTATTGACATGTCGCAATTGATTCGGATTGCTGTGATATCATATGTTTTCCTTGACAGACGGGTGACGGTCAATCTACAACACTAGGTCTCAAGGGAGGCAGATTGATGAAGATATAGGCTAGTTTTAATGTCGCCATTATTATATCATTGTAAATATTTTATTTCCTTGTGCGATATGACGGTCTACGTTTTAATTATGCTCGTAGCGTATCTCACAGTTTGGTTCTCACGAAAAATTACCCTATGGCATCGATTAACATGGCTGGTGTCAATTACGCTTACCTTTCCGGAACAGCTAGTCTAACTTTCGTTGTATTTTTTACACGTTATGTTTTCCTTTGATTATGATCTGTCCTAGTTTTACTGAATAAGAATTCTAAGTTCAAAATATGGTTTCGTTCACACCTCCTTATTATTCATAAACACTTAACAAAATGTGGATATCCCTTTTGCTATACAAATACCCAACGAACATAAGTACAACTTATACATGTAGCAAAATAACATAAAACCATCGATTGTGGGGCATTAACGTTATCTGTTATGTACAGTGCATTTCATTACCTTTAAGGAAACAAACATCAAGTGACAAATATTTCAATTTAAAAGGATTAGGGATATGCTTCTTGAAGAGCTTTTCGCCGATTACATCGATCCGATATTCACATACTACACACAGAGATTTCTCCATGCTCACAAAGAATGTCCATTAACATATATTACCATAGAATGAAGATTTTCAGCCATCGTCTACAAGCTGTTGCGAACACTCGGAACTACTTATATATATATATATATTATTTCACTTTCATTTCATGTCTTTGTTTAATATCAAGTGCAATCGCTGA